CACACACACACACACACACACACACACACACACACACACACACACACAAGTTTTTTCCCTTGTCTTCTGAGATACTCCTTATCATAATTGACCTACAGTGTTGACTTAATGTTCTCAATGAGAGCTGCCAGCAAATAGAAGTAGTGTTATTTTGATGAATACAGTAGCTAGATCCTAGTTACTGAGGGGTGTTAGAAATAGGTGCTTGCTGCAGCTCTGTTGAGAGGTTAGGATCTTTTACAGGCTCTTCTGCTATGAGTCAAACATGGAAACTACAGTGTTGTAATATGCCTATAGTAGCTGTAGTGTTACCCGTCAGTAATCATGTTATTTTTCTTTCAGTTCAGAGTTTACGAGGTTCATAAAAGATGTACAAAGAAGAAGTGGAAATACATTAAGTTTGAGCTCCACTGAAATTCTAAGCAGAGTGACAGATCTCATTCTGGACCAGCAAAATGAGGTCTGTTGTAGTTGCTGCTATTTCTACTGTGTATCTCTGACAGTGGAAATAATGCAGCACAGTCTAAAAGAGAATACAAATTTTTCCTTGCTGTCAAGCTCTGAACCATGAACTTGCTCAGAACTCTTATCCAATACCTGTCTAGGCATCAACTTCTGTAGGGAGACCTCTGAAGTCAACATCATCTGCTTCTGCAGGACAGACGGGAACTCAGAGTCAAGTAGCAGCTGCAGAAGGAAATGTTTCCAGTGCACCCCAAGCAAGGCCTGCACACAAAAGCACCTCAAGTAAAAACATGCTGCCATCTCAGCCAAATCTCCAGCCGTGGGGGAATGCTGGAACAACACCAAAAGCTAAATGGAAAAAACTAGACTATATAGTAAGTTCTCCACTGCATTGTGAATTTCAAATTATTACCATGGTCTTTTTTTATGAGATGTGAAATAATCAAAGTATTACTAGACAAAAAATAGTCAGACTTCTTCATTTTGTGGACAATGAAGTAAAGAGTTTGATGATAAATTGTTGCTAACTTACTAATCACTTTCTGTTCAAATGATTTTTTTTTTAAATGTATAGCCTTCCAGTGATGATCCATGCATCATATGCCATGATGAGTTAAGCAGAGACTCATGTGAACTGGAATGTGGGCATCATTTTCACAGAGAAGTAAGGATTTTTTTTCTTACCTTAGTATTGCTTAGATGCAAATGTTGACTCTCTGTTCAATTATACAGTTTTTTTTACTTTTTAAAAGTTTCTCCCTCCCCTTTATCCTTCAGCATCTGAAATTAGGATTGGCAGGACATTGTTTTCCTTTCCGTACTTTTTGCACCAAGACTTGCTATATGCAGTATTAATGTTTTGAAAAGTTTCCAGTTTTAGATATTAACTAAGATGGTAATTCATCAGACTGAATTTAAGCTTACTTTGAATTCAGAATAATCCAGTCTTGGTAATCATATTACGGATTTCTGTTTGCAGCATCCTTAGAGAAGGGGCCACTGCTATAAAGCTGCTTTTGCCACCTGATAGGAGCTGCAGGTGTAACTTCATGTATTAAGGAGGCAAAAAATTATACTGGAATAACACAATACTTCTGTCCATGACTTTTTCCCATTTCCATATTTGTTGCTCTTTTGTCACTTGCAGAATAGTTTGGTGAGCAGAACATCAGAACTGGAGAATAGTTTTCTAACTGCAAATTTCATAACAAGTTGTGCAAGGGGGTACTGAGACTGTTTCCTCAGCGTAATCTTCCTGTTCTTGCAGTGCATTAGAAAATGGCTTAAGGAACATTCGAGTACCTGCCCTATCTGTCGCATCCACGTTCTGTTACCTGAAGACTTTCCTGAGCTCCCTGCACGCAACAAACATGCCTAAACCTTGTTTTGTGACACTCAGTAAGATGTGGAGTGGCTGCAGATAAATAACCATCCCAACATGGCATGGAGACATGATGCCTAAGAAGAGATGGAACCCTGGTTTTAGTGGAAATGATAGCAGAATTTGTTCTAATGCAGTATTTAACACTGAGCTGTAAGACAAGTATTGCTGTGGCACTTACTGGATGAAGACAGCGTACTCCTTAAATCAGTGCTTCTCCTGGTTGCTGCCTTCAGCGTGTGTACCTCATGTAGTTCTGAGGCCAGGACCATGCTGGTTGGGTTCTTGCTTAGGGGAGTTTCAGTCCTTAATTTATTTTTCTCAAAGGCTGCTTCTGTATGTGCACAGTACCTCTAAAAAGGGGTTTTCTTTAGAGCTGATACTACACTGAAAATAAATAAAGGTGGGCCGAACAGTAGATTGGCAGAATTTGGAATAACCAAGCCATCACCTTCCCTGTATAAACAATTGCAGGATTCCAATTGAGTTTCTTTAGATCATTATGAATATCATTTGTGTAATTGCAAGTCTTTTCTCCATGTAAATCTGGAACTGATAATTCAAATTGTTTAAATGATAACTCTTAGCTATACTTTGAAGCACTAAATATTCTCTAAGTATTCTTCTGTTCATACATCGATTTTAGAATACTGTGATTCAATTCTGTAATGTAAAAATACCTTAAATTTCTCTCCTTGATGAGCTGATTTGTTTAAATTGGCACTAAAGGATTTTTATTCTTGGTGAAGCAATATAATGCAGTTGTGTTCTGTGCACAAATGTCAGTTTATCAGCAGTGTGAGGTACATGGTACAACCAGCTGAAGGAGTGGCTGTCCTACTGCTTGAGAAGTCTGAGTGTGCCTTGAGTGCCTTCTGCCTTGTAAAATTTGTTTCAGACAGCCAGAGATCCAGGTATGCCGCATGGTGTAAACACCCTCAGAATGTGCTGAGTCTGACCATTGTTTGGGCACAAGCAGTGTTCAACTATTTCAGGTTATGGCTTAACGGATCATTTGTTTCTCCACGTCAGTAAGTATACAGTTGAAGTTTCAAAGCATCCTTTGATAAGTCAGTATGTTCAGTGGAACTTGGGTCAAAAATAAAATTACTTCTGTAGCCTCTGTGGTGGTTCTTCTTGTGTAATATGTTTGTTGATTGTGAATTCTTGATGCATAAGGTACTATCTGCCAAAGAGCTGAGGTGCTGTGCTGCCTGCAGGATGAGGTACTGTTCTGCTCTGCATTACACTGCTTGCATCCTTGTCAGCTTGTTTTTTCTCAGTGTGTGAGGAGAGGACAGGCAGAGCAGCCCCCACACATGCCACAGGTGATGGTGTTCTTAACCAGAACACAGCTTGACAGCACTGGCTGTTAATGTGGGGTCTTAGCATTGAATTGATATTTACATATGTTATGTTCTTGCTTGCTACCAGCTAATCTTGTCCCTCACAGCACACATAAGATCTCAGGTTCCTTAGTAAGGTGGATGTGGTGTTTGTTTTCCTCTAAAAATCTTTGCTCCTTTTCTCTTAACTCCTAAAAACCACAAGTTTTACTGACAGCCAGAGGTGGGCCATTCACAGCTTTAAGGCCTCCTTTTAAAGCAGACAAAAACAAGGTCTAGTTTTAGGTAAGATTGTTTTGAAGGAGATGAGGTGTCTGACCCAGGTGCACATGAGGTAGTTTATTTCCAGACTGAGACAAGGTAAAGCAGACTTGCTCTGTGTTTGGGAATCCTGACTCATGGCTGTACTGAATGCTGAATGATTATTCCTGTCGTGTTTGGATGCTGTTGATTTTTTTTCTTTGTATGTGGAAAGGTTGGGTACATGCTCCACAATAACAGTAGAAGTATCCATCTGCTAGAAGAGTCCAGTTTCTAATCCAGCTCTCAGTTGTCAGCAGTTTATTGCAGAGTCTCACATTAATCCTTGGCTTCCAGTCAGAGCTGCCTTTCAGAGAGCAAGAAAATCATAGAGCCACAGAAGCACTTGAAAGCCGGATTTTGTCAGATGTCTCTCCTCCATTCTCAAACCATTCGTCAACCATCAGTACCCCAGGAACAACATGGTACAGGCAGAGGGGCAACCTAGTAGACTGCAGTTGAAGGAGTTCTGCTGCGGATACAATAGCCAGGGGCAGGATGAATGCCAGTGCTTCTTTTCATTTAACTTTGGAATGTGTGAAGTGATGCTGCTGCTTTAGGTTTGAGCAGCAGGTGGCACTCCTGTAGACTAGAAACAGTCTAAAGGCATCTAGACTAGGAGTAGGGGCTGTTGTTTTCCAGAAATCATGCTGTACTTACTGGTTCCTGATCTTAAAAAAAGTGTGTATTTCTAGTTAATGGGGAGAGGAAAGAGAGGGGATAGAGAACAAAGGTGTTCTGTTGTTTTTTTTTTTTTAATAAATGTAAGACATTAAAATAATATCAAATGCTTACTCCTGAAGTACAGCTGATACCAAACCACTGCTAAACTCAGAACTACATATTCTTGCTTAGCAATACTCCTGGAAAAAGCTACAGGAAGTTTTGGCAGTTCTCTTTAATTCCTTTTAGGTTGTTATACATCATAGTTGATGTAACGCCCTATATACTACTTAACCTGCCTCCATCCCATGCAAATTTTGTGGAAAATTAGCAACTAGAAGAAAATTGCAGCTGTTTTGTTAACTTCAAATAACATCAAAATCCATTACCTGTTCATCTGAGGAAGGTTGCTTCTTGCTGGAGTGGATTTTTTTTTCCCCCATCTAGTTCCTACTCTGCCAGTTTCTGTGAACTTTTAAGATTTATGATTACAAAGACTTAACATATTTCTTAGTGTAAATTTGTATATTTACTTTCACAAAAGTATTTATATAAATTTCCTTTCAGGTGCTTGTATTTGTACTTTCATATTAGTAAGTGGCAATATTAACCCACCTGTTTAAGCAGCAAATGGCCTATCTCCCTTGGAATAGTTGCTCACATCATGAATAGTTTCCTACAGGCACAAGGTGTCACAGCATAAAAGTATTTTTGGCCACTTTCTTCAGTACTTGGTGTCGTCTACACTCTGAGCAGAGGGCTATGCAACAAGGCAGTGCTGCTGTTTGTCATGTCAGTCATTCCTTTTTCACATCAGAGCTGAGCTGCACAAGTCTAGTAAAGAGGAAAGATGTTAAAGTGTCCAGAGTAAGTGCAGATTTTAGCTTCAAACTTCTGACCTTTCTTGGCACTATTTTACACAAACAGCAAAGGTAAAGCAAGGGCATTCCAGGGAATAGCCAAGGAGAAGTTACCTGTGAAGCAGTAACTTCAGTTTTAAGCACTCCTTCGAGGCAGACTCATTCCTAATTTGACCAAAATACTTTTGATGTTATTTCACCTCATTACCCATTTCACATCTCTTAATTCAGTCATCGTGCACTATTCATCTCATGACACTGTGCATTGTAGTAGCACCATTTATTATACTTCCACACGCACTATTCAGTCCTGTCCCCTCCTCAAATATATATACAGTAAACCATATTAACAGAACTGACTTCATTTAAGAGGTCTTTGAAGGACTTTGGAACAAGTGTTACATTATGAATTAAACAGAAAAATTTGCTTCACATGTTTTTATAACTTGTGAAAATATGCAAAAAAACATTCACAATTTGTTTGAGAAAAAAAACACAGAAAATCTGGCTGCTGAAATCAGATACTTGACAGAGCTCTCAAGATAGTTAATCCACGTAGGCTACCATAAGACAGGCAAAGGCTTTGGGATAACTGAGAGCCCAAGAACCACCATCAGGAGGAAGGAAGTGATAAGTTTTCACTTCAAATAACAAGATAAGATAAAATCTCCTTTTGTCTCTGAATGATTTCATCCTTCTCCTGTGGCTCCTTAAGTGATTCTTCCTCTGGCTATTTACATCCTGCAGAGCTTCAGTGGGAAGTTCTCTGTGATGAGATGATCGTCATGCAGGAGGACAACAATGTTCACTTCAAACTCTACAGGAAAAGAAAGAGTTCCATTAATTAATCCATTCAACTGAACTGTAACAATAAAAACAGAGCAGACACTTTCTACTCTCAGCTGCATCACACCACAGGACTCTCCCAAGCTGTTTCTACGGCCAAGTCATACAGGGATGAAAAGGTATTCCAGACAGAACCAAATTAGAGGCATCTGAGACCTTGGGCCACTGAGACCCTTGGCTTCTTACAAACTGAGTTTCTTCTGGATTTGCTTTCCTGTGACTGAAAATTGATGCCTGTTGACCACTGTGTGATCAACATAAGATGACATAGAAGATCAAACAACTACAGATTAAAATGGACTTTGGTGTGAGAAACCTCATCCCAAAGCATATGCGTATTTTTTTTAGAATCATGTTGAAAAGTTAAGGAACAAATTCCTGCCCACACTGTCAGAATGTAACATAAGATTTTAAGGCCTTACAGAAAGTGAAGTTAAACACCAAAAAACCATATACGTGTAAATGATGAAAAAGTCTCAAAATCTACTCTTCAAATATTACATTGTGTTGGTCAGAAATAGGATCAGGATCAGGTCTGTAAAGACTTCTAAGTGGAGACAATATAAAGACAAGTAGAGTTCCCAGATGAAGGAAGGCAGAGATTACACTGAACATAGCTGTCTTTTTTGGGCACTTTCATACTTCAATTAAGACTTCAAATTTATATAAGTAGATATGACATTAACAGCAGCCATTTCTTATTTAATAGTAAGAAATGGCCAAAGTAAACCAGAATAGTATTTTGGGGGGGGTGTTAGGGGAAAATGGAGGGAAAAAAATAAATAAATCACAGTACATCAGGTACAGAAATGCTTTTGGGGGAACAGACAACCAAGTAATGAAAGTTGAAAAGCTACCTGTGCATATTTGTCCAAGATACACAGCAGAAAAGTAACAGGAGCTTCAGGTGGGAAGATCTTGGAAGTAGGGACTCAGACTGTAGTAACAGCTACTACTGTACTAGCAGCCTCAATGTGATGCAATTAAATTTAAAAAAGCAACAAACAAACAACCACAGGCAGCAATGAGAATTTCTGATGTACTTATTTGAACAAATGAGAACTATCCTAAATTTTAGATGTTTGTTAATGAAGATGGTAGAGTTTGGATACAGTTAGGAGGAAGTGGCCTGTGTAGATCAAGAAAGTAGAGTCAGGTACAATCTGCCTCACTTCTGAATCTATGCAGCAGGAGAATGGGAAGCAAAAAAAAAAAAAAAAAAAAAAAAAAAAAAAAAAAGCTATGGAAGGAGGGGTTCTCAGCAGTGATAGAAAGAAGGAATCTTTCCATTTTATTCTCGGGCTACTATTCAGGGGTTGAATAACACCATATTTTTTTGGCAGAAAAAAGTTACTCATTGATTATTCTGGTCATGTAATTCTCTTAGAACTTGCATAACAGTATCCTAACTATTTCTGATTGGAAGCACTTGGTCTCTGCTTTCTCAGTCTATATGAAATGCAGCATACTACAGTCCTGTTCATGGGACCTCTACAAGGAAATAGTCACCCTTGTTCTTTCTTGCACAGCGATTCATCTCATTACCTGCCAGAAGCTGAAGTGAAACTAGCAGCTTATTTCTAATGGAAGCTGCAAACAGAGCATAAGATCCTATCCACTTACCCACTTTGAAGTTTGTTGTTTCCAAGGTAGGGCAAGTGAACAACCTGGGAAACACCATGTATATAGGAACTGGTAGGCCTCTGCAGACATCCCCATCAGCAATCTGAATATTCTGTATCTCTGTGGCATCTCTGGCATAACCTTCTGCACACCCTGGTGAAAGCAAAAGAAATTCAGAGGGAGCGGGAAGGAAAAGCAAAGCAATGGCCAAAATTCAAATATGAATTCACTGGGGGTAGGAGCAAGAAGGGAAGGGAACAGGGATATGGCCTTTGCCCTTTGATTTGTGAGTTTTCACATGAGTGCTTCAAAACTAAGTCTTAGGGATTGAATTTAAAGTAATGTTTCAACTGTTCCACACGAAATGCAGAATTATTTTTTGCCAGTGTTTTTAGTTGTATGATTTCTGACAGTCTTGCATATTGAACATCTAAGTGGTAATTACTGCAGCATACACACGTTCCACCTACTGGGAAACTTACCACAGGTTTCCACACGCACTAACTGCAGCTCAATACTTTTGACTGCAGCTTCTGCACTCTCCACTACCAGCTCCCCTGTTAGTGGCTGCGTAATGACACAGTTTGTAGAACTGAGATGGCCTCTGATGAGAAATTTTGGAAGTGATGCTCTCTAAGAAGATGGAGGGAAAACAAACATAACTAATCATCTGTATCAGAAGAGAACAGGCAGCATCACCTTACAAAATAAAAACAGGAGGGAGGAGAGGAAAAAAAAAAAAAAAGAAAAAAGCTAATGATGCGCAGCAAAGCATTTATTCATTCTTTTCTTGTTCAGAATCATGCAAGTAGTAAATAGTAAATTAAAAGTAAATAAATAAAACCCAAACAACTTACCTCTTTAACATTCTGCAAAGTTTCAGGAGTAATTGTGAAGTCTACTGGGCTCGGCGTCAGTTTCCCTTTCTGTGACTAAACAGTAATGAAACAGTTAAGCTGTAACTGATTTACAGCACACAAACACACACTCTGAATACTAACATCAATTAACAATTGGCTGTGTTAATTTTCAGAATTGTCTGCATACAAGAAGTATCTGTGTAACAAGAGATCTGAAATTTCCTACATTTGGTAGTAAGTAATATTATGATATTGTCTAGACAGATCTCAGCATATTGCAAATCTGAATTATAGAAACAAAACTGTCAAAACTTTGATTATTTTGCACTTGCCATTGCGATAAGCCACAACATAATCTCCATTTTTAAGTTTAAAAACAAATAAACCAAGTGTTTGGCTAATCAAAATGCCCTGGAAAAAAGAACACTACCAATCTTCTGAAACATACTGAATGCCATAGAAAAGAAATTCACATTTCTGTATTTACAAATAATTACATTTTGTATGTCATGCTTTATGTTTCCTTAAATTACCATTACTTTGTAAATTTGGGCAGGGTAAATTGGAGTAATGGAGCAAGATTATTTATATGTTTAAAGAACCTTCCCTCTTCTCTTGCTATCTCTGAGCACTTTGAGCTCTTTCTGCTGCCCTTTCAGGATCAGCTCAGGCCTGTTAAGCCATCCTCATATCAAAAAGAGATCCTCAGTTGAGGGAATCTAATCTGGCACTCATGTAACAGATGTGGACTCTCAGCTTCTTTAACTGTAAAATAAGCAAAATGTGGTCCAGATTAATTTCCCACATTGGAAGAAACAGTTCTAGGCTAGGGGCACATTCTTGTAGTTGTTCACTTCTTTAGATCACTTGTCACAAAACCAAGAAGTTAGTCTTCACATAAATGGCTGGCTGGGCCCTAAGCTCAGCTGTGATGCAGTCTGTGCTTTGAATCAGGAAGGCAAGTGTAATTGACCATTCGCCACGCTCTCTCCCCATCCTTATCTCAGAGAGAGACACACTGTCTTTTCCCTACATATTCTACATATTTAGAACAAGTGATCAGCACAGCAGCATCAATCAGGAGAGATCCAATTGCATGTGACTGAGAGTTGGTAGAGCACTGCTATACCGGTGGCCTTAACTTGAACTCTAAGTTAGGACTTACTCTCACTACCTAAGAATTCAAAACAGCTTCTGCTGCCCAGCTGCAAGATGGAAGATAATAGCAAAAAGATTGACTGTATTCTCCCACAAATGACAAATTCTGGCAAAGAATAAGGTTAAGGGAAATGGTACATTGAGCACTGACAGAGAGAATTATATGTTCAGTAAAACCTCATTAATTCACCCCAACTGGAAGATTTGTCATGATTTACTGACTTGTGTTCTAAGACGTGCCACAGTAGGAACATGAAATAAAATCAGGAAACTGCACAATATAATTTGTTCCCTATTTTGACAACTGTGGCTTACTTATAATATAATGATGGACTAATAAAAAGTAGTATAATACATTTTGGAAAATAATACAATCCTGCCAACAGAAGACCTCCTTTTAGCACCTAGCTAAATCTGTGGTAGCACAGAATGAAAACAGCATATTTGCACCATATAAGAAAGAATCTAACACTTTCATTGCTCTGTTAAAAACTTCAAGGGAATGATACAAAACAATATGTTCTAGTAAGTTCTGTGTGGAAAAGGAAGAGGTATTTAGCTAGGCCTGCACACCTGTACTGACAGCACGTGCTCTGAATGTGTGTGTAAGGCAATACAAACTAAAATGTGGAAAAAAATCTGATATAGGAATTTCCAAATAACATGCAGTAAACCATTTATTGTGAGACAGTCAAATCTCAGCCCACAGCAATATAGAAGACTGTCTCCATGTCACTGACTGGAGAGTGTGGTTATTTGTTAACTTGGATATCTAGCATACTGCCAACCATGGGCTTATATAATAAAGGTGATTAAGCTGACAAGTTTCTTCCTTCCAATTTGATGCAGTCCTAACTTTGATATTTTGGCCTGGGGCTCCAAGTCACAATTAGGCACCTAAGTGACAGAAATTATGTGCTGTCTCTCAACTAACAAACTCCCTTTTCTAGGGCAGGCTTTTGGGTGCCTGGAAGTTTTGGATAGGAAGCATTCAAATAATCTGAAACAGCATTTAGATAAATATGTGTTCTTCTACCTACATTGTTGTTTCACTTTTAAAAATGAAATAACAGAATAAATGCAGTGCAAATCCTATTTATAATTCTACATTAAATGCAAAACAAAACCAACGGTGTTTTATCAATAAAAACTGACACGTTAGCTCTTCTGGATATTTATGTTGTTATGTATGTCCTTTACTCACACATACCACAGATACAACTACTTATTGTTTTACTTAATCTTTTAACCTTACCTCTAAACTTCACTTAAAATGAAAAATAAAATAAACCAAATCAGATCCAACAAAGCACACACACAGCCAGCCACTGTGTAGTTAATACAAACTGCACTTACCACTGAGTGAACAATGAATTCACAAGTCTTGGTTAGGTCTTTTGCCAGCAGAGAACGTCGCATATCACACCGCAGGGTATACTGGCAAGAATGGGATGACAAAGAGAAAGAAGAAAGACTTATTTAAGAACTTAAGATTTCATCCATCTGTTATCTTTCAGTCCTTTGTATGGGTGTATATGTATATGCAGAATGCAGATTTTAATATTTAAGGCACTGCTTACAGCAGATTAGTAGGTAATGCATATACCAATGATACAGTGGGAAGGGAAGGAGATACAAGGTATATGATTTCAGATGCCCCAAATGAAAGCTATTTTGTGCTTACAGGCCCATCCCATTTTCAAATGGTCTCACATGTTACATAACAGCCAGTGAGATCAAGGGACTAATTCACTGACACAGTAACACTCTTGTATGGCTTGAGCACCCAAATGACATCCAGCTAGGAGTGATTTCTGTACTCTTCTCACCACGTTTTTGTTTAAAGAGAAGGACCTTTAAGTTCCTGCTTATCCTTCAAACTGACAAAAAAAATATATACTTAAAGATACTATGACAGAAAGCTTTGTCCTCTGTTTCCATGGAAGAAGATATACAACAGGTAACAAAAGCTCAGATTTTCTTTACAGGTAGGACTCCCTTACCTGAATATTAACAAAGACACCATGATACGTCTCATACAGAACTTTGTTGCCCTTCACATGCAGTGGGAATTCAAAAGGAATTTCTGTCTTGCCACTGGGAAGCTTCCCTGGTTTTACCATTTCAATAGTGCTGTTAATAATTTGAATAGGCTGCAAAAATAAATACGAAAGTTCAGTTTGAACTACAGTGACAGTTACATCATGTCAAATGAACCAACAATATCACTGAAGTCAAACAGGCTTCAAGAATTTTCCAAAAAATTCAGATTATTTTTTCCTCATACGCAGTTCTCCAGTCTTACAAGGAAATATTAACAATGTTTCATTTGGAAAAATGATGTATGATCTATTTAATGGTTGTAGCAAAGTAACGACTACGTGCATTTAGAGAACTGAACAGCGAAGTCTGAAGCATCTGGGAAAGCAAAGTGCCATTTTCCAAATGATGGCCTGTAGCATGAGTTGCAGAAATCAACAAGTACATGTGCCAGTTCAGCAGGCAGCCCTTCCCCACCACCCTGCTGCCTGCTCATCCACCACTTCTCACCCTAAAGGTTTCTCTTCTTATAAGGTTTCTTTTTGATTTATTTCTGAAATTATGGTTAGCTACAATTTACCATTGGACCGGGAAAGCCTCATAATCATGAAATATGCACACAAATGGAACAGAGCAAAAGCAGCAGGACAGAGCAAAAGTGCCCAATAGGGAAGTAGACTGAAAATCCAGCACAGCATTACTACTGGCATCTTATTTTCATTCAAGATTCCAGTTTCTTGCAAGCAGTTTAAGTTGCTTCAGTGTCTATCTGATAAGAGATGCAATCCCTCATTATCTTACTGTTCCATTACTTACACATATTTGTCACAGTTGCAAGAACTGAAAGAGTGATCGTTGTGCTGACATTTAATGAGATAAAGCTAAACCTTCTCTATGTAGGTTTATTCCAACCTGCGTTTTTAACATGAGAAAGAAGAATGACTGAACTAAGCTCACTGTTCACTCGTGCTAAAAGAAGCAGCCTAACTTGCTCCTCCGTGTAGCATTACTTTCTTTTGTGCTAAACTAGACATTCATCTGACCTATCAGTAAGATAATTCAAATCAATTAAACTCATATCAGAAATAAACTTGCCCTCTCCTGATCTACTAATCTAATAAATTGAATCAACCCAAATGAACAGAAACAAAGCAGCAGAATCAGTGCTGGATGAAGAGAAAAGATTAAATGATCTCAGCCCATCTTAGTAGGGAACATCATAAAGGGAACTTTTTTTCCTCCAGCTCATAATGAACTGTTTATTAATCAATTAGAAGGAAGCTAATCAATGAATGCTGGGTACACTAGGAAAAGGATACAAGATAACTATAAAGAAATATGATCACTGCAGCTTTGCTTGAAGGTTACGCTACTCTACAGTTTTATTTTTCCCTCTAGCAGGTTGGAACAAGAAAATTCTATTGCTTCTTCTGCTTTTCTGTTTTTCAATCAATCACAGACAGATTACTCATGCTGCAAACAAAGTAACTATGATACAAATTAAGACTTTAAAAGACCCTACACTTTGGCAAACTGTTCCACAAATACAGCTACACTGACTCTAGACATAGGCAACCTTGCCCTCAATCAATAGAGCCACATTTGTGTGCAGCCCAAGATAATTTGTTCTGCTAGATTCCAGTCTTCACACTTCCAAACCTGGAGAGCAGTAGAGAGGCCTTCCAGGATTCTGCAAGCTTCTGGACTGCAGTGTCATACTGCACTGAGGAACTTGTACGGTACTCAGTAGCAAACAACCTCAATGGCCTCTGCAGAAACTGTTAAGTGTAACAACTGACCTGGACAGAAGTCCAATTAAACTTTGTCACCGTAGAATGAGTCTCCAATGCATCCTCCAGTAACCCTAGTATTTATGTTACTGCATTTCTGCCCTAAAGAAAACACTCCAAAATGGTGAAAGAACGTTAAGCATTTCTCTGCTTTGTATCATTCGCATACCATGAAGTACTGTAACTTCCTGAGAGCCAATAAAGAAAAATCTAAGAAAATTGAGAAAAGCTTCATGCTGAAGATATCAACCTGCACAGGTTCTTACCTTGACAGAATTGTAGAAAGCTTCAAACACACCCACACTTTTGGCACTAAGCTGCAGATTTACAGATCCTTCCATTGTCAATGAGATGCCTTGGTGCTGGATTGTGTCCTTACTTGTTATGACCACGACGCCAGAAAGAATTTCCTAGTAGGAGAAAAGACAACATCTAAACAATTGTTTAAAGCAATTCCTGGTAGTGCTGTTACTCAGACAACATGCTACTCCGTTTTCCAACAACTCAACAAAGCTGTTCCCAAAGTACAGTCTAACCCTGTTAGAAGAGACAAATACTGATAACAAAATAACGTGAGGAACAGACTCCAGTTTGTTTTCTTTAAAAACATTCTCCTTCTCACAGAAGTACTTATTGAAAGTACTTATTCCAAGTTTCAATTGCGTTCCAACACTTTGAGGTTTCCCTCTCCTGGCAAATGAAAAACATCCTCATAAGCAGCCATCAGTTCAGTTGGTAACAGTTAAGTTTCATTTCCAAATCTCAGGAAAAATTTAAATACCAAAAGCAGGATGGTCAGTCATAAGGAATGGGAGAGAGAGCATAGCTGTGAAAGAGATGCCTGTGCTGATGACCAGGTTAATCCGAAGAGCTGTACAGAGCAAATTAATTAATAACAACAAAAGCCAGCAACAAAACAAACAAGAACCCCACCACTCCACAGATGTTCTGCTACACAAACCTGTGCCCCACTATGTGGGAAACAGTTTCAAAGCGTATCTGAATCTAAGGGTAAGATGTGTGAACCAAGAGACAGGTCACTTATCCCACTAAGAATGTATTTGCACAAGAACATGGCAACTTTTACTTACTAATTTAGCAGGTTGAACACTGAAAAAGAACTGACTGCAGGACAGCAAGACATTTCATTTTACATACCCCATCATTTATCCTTTCCTACAATAGAGAGTCCACTTCAATCCAGTGTTGCACACCAAACACTCAAACGTCTGGAAACAGCAGCAAGTGATTTGAGAACTTGGAGATTTCTTAGGACTAACTCTCTCCTGGTTGATAGCAAAGCTCTCAGCCTCCACACCAAACCACAGATTCAAACAGTAACTCAGACTGCCCACTCCACGCTCGACCAGTTAGAACCAGTCTAGCTCCGTACACTTGAATGCTGCCAGCCTTTTGTCTTTACTAGTGGTACAGCATAACAATATAGAAAATGGGTCAGGCAGTTTAAAGCAGAGCATCAAGCATCACAATGAAGGCTGCCATGCTACAAATCCGAAAGAGGACCTGCAGCAACTGGGAAACTCCAGGAACAGAAGGCACAAGCACAAAAGGACAGTGAAGAAAAGCTGACCTAAATACTGTACTGCTTTGCAAACAGGCTTTAATTAGTACCAGCAATTAGGTTATTGCTTTGAAAAGTGAATACTGCTAAACTATAAGAAGCAAGGACAGCCCTGAACGTATGAAGTGCTTCAGTAAATGAGAACAGACTTCTATCATATAGCAACAACCTATTAGCTATCACCTACATAGCTTCACACAAGAAGGTTGTACGCATTTAGGGCAGAAGGGAGAAGAATGGATTAAAATTAAATGTGATTTCTTTCTTTAAACAATAAGTATCTCCTAAGAAATAAAAGGAGATTAAAAGAAAAAACTTGAAGTCACTTTTTAAACAAGCAACTTAAGTCACTAGTCAGGAGAGAGAGTAGCATCACAAAAGAGATGCTTTAATTTTTATCTGAACTGTTTATATGCCATCAGGTTCTATCTCCATTTTACAATGGGTGCGAAAATCTACTATTCCCTCTCTTAAGAAGAGCTACTTTGTACTTTTTCATGTTCTCCCTAAACACAAAACTTTCAGTACACTTGTCCTTCCAAGAGGTACAAATCAAAAGAACATAAACATATCAAGATGGTAAAATACTTACAGTCAGCACACCATTTATGAGAAAGCTTCTTAGTTTTGCAAAAGAAAACATAACATTTGAAAAAGTTATTTGGCATCACTAGACTAATTAGTACTGTCTTCAATTTGTACCAAAAGGTATTCATTTATCTTTAATACCCTACCATTCTCTACAACTATCTGAAAGGAGGTTGTAGTGAAATGGAGTCAGCCTCTTCTCCCAAGTAATTATGATAGGGAATGGCCTCAAGTTGCACCAGGGGAGGTATAGGTTGGGTATTAGGAAACATTTCTTCTCAGCAAGAGTGGTGCTGCAGTGGCACAGGCTGCCCAGGGAGGTGGTGCAGTCAGCGTCCCTGGAGGTGTTCAGGAGCCGTGTGGATGTGGCACTGAGGGACGTGGGCTGACTGTTTGGACTGGGGGATCTCAGTTGTCTTTTCCAACCTTAAGGATTCTACAAAGGCATAGAGAAAGTCACCAGTGAAATGAAGCCCCACTTATTACAGTGGAGTAACTTATCATCAGTTGCTTTTGCTCGCTTTCTACCTTCACACTTTCCAGGAACTCCTCAAGGCTTTCCCACACGATGACAAAACTTCACAAAATGGAATAATGCTAATGCTCTTCTACAAAGAATCGTTCTCCTAAGGAGAGTAACTACCCACAGAAAGGACATCGCATCCCGTGAAGCTGACAGAGCAGCATATGCTACACTGGAACAAAACATTCTTGTGAGAAAACTGCTCCAAGTTAACGATCCCCAAATAAGCTCTTTATTCTTCTACTGTCAGTTCCTCACCTCTCAAACAGGCACATGTAACTGACAGAAAAGTCTCAACTACAACGAACATCTGCTTCACCTAATTCAACCTCATCATCCCTTATTTCCACAGCCGTTGAGCAGAGCTGAGTTTGGCTGAGGACAATTAGGGCTGATCTTTGTTCAGGAAGAAGCAATAGCGCGTAACACAGATCACAGAACCTCATCTCTAAACTCCTCAGACAAGCTGCAACTTCTGACTAACCCAGGCAGCCAATCGGATTCTTTAAACATGATGTAAAGATTCAAAGGATCAAAGCACATTAATTTTTTGCTGAGAATTACTTCTAGTGTTAAAACACACACCAATTCCAACCTGACTGCTTACAGTCAGGTCTTCTTGCTTGAATAAGGCACTACAAAAAACTTCCAGCTAGATATGATGTACTTTCAGACTGGAGCCAGTCATTTGACAGATAAGAATATTTGCTGATAAGAAACATCAGCCTATTTTATTTTCAAATGAGAGGTACTTTTGAAAAAACATCACCACCAAAAATCAATCAAACAAACCATAAGGCAAGCTTTCAGGACCACCTGAAATCTGCCACCACGCATTTTCAAGTGTTGACAGCAACAGAAGACACCATAATGAATGCCAGTACATACAGAAATGCTTACCAATTACCCAGCTCCAGTTCATTTTAACTATATCTTTATAGAAGCACAGAATCACAAGATTAGAAAGGACCTACAATATCATCTAGTCCAACCGTCCACCCATTACCCTTGCTACCACAAGCCACTAAACCATATCTCATAGCTCCAAGTTTTATGAATTAAGCTTGTCACTGGTTTGGCAAAATGGGAGTCCATGGTCAGTTGGTTACCAACAAAATGCTTTAGTTTCTCTTGGGGTTCCTCTTTCCACATCACAGACCTTTAATTTCAGGACTAAGGGCATGAATTTGGCAGTTTTAGACTTCCTATTAAGTTCACTTAAGTCCTGTTTACTAAATGTTCTTCATCATTTTCTGCCACATGTATTATTCTACCCAACTGATCCACCAGCAGATCTTAACTTCACATTCTTCTGATTCTTTACACAGAAAGGTACTGCATTTAATAGGAAAACCCTGCTATATCCAACTAACAGGACATCAGACATTCAACCTCAATGTTCAGTATTACTAAGCAGTTTGCTTTGTCAGAAACAATAAAAAGCTTCTGTGTAGGCAAATTCTAGCTTAAGTATATTTTGGAGTCACTTGTCATTAAAAGCCTTTTGCTGACATTAATCAAGGCATTCTTCTTTGTATACTGCATTTTTTCAGCCTTTTCAGCCTGCAATTCTTTTAATTATCCATTTTGAGCTAACT